CGTTGCAGTTCTTGTACCACCAGGCACCCTTACGTATTACAGCACAGTTACTACTGTATTTATCATTATCACGATCTTTGGTGGAGAAAGGCATACCACGATGGTAGGACAATGAATCGCCTGCAGTTCCTGCATAAAGAATTCGAGATATTTCTAAAATGACGATTCAAAAATATATAAACAGAAAATGCCAAGAAATTGATAGGGGGAGTCTTTTTCATTAGATTTTTTATTCACTGTAATTCATTAATATTTAGGGAATATTGATTTTTGACACTGATTTCAAAACAGTTTTTATACTTGAGAAGGCCTCACTGTTAGGCTCAGATTTTGTTTTTCATATATTTGCCCCGTCTTTGTAAATGATCCACAGAAAATATGAAAATAACACAAATCTAAAGAAATGCAAACTTTTATTCGATTTGGTTTCGAACAAAATCTGCAGCAAAGCAGTGGTCAATATGGCAATATAAATTCATGAAAAATATAGAAACCATTGAAAGGCCGAGAAAGGCATCAATTTCATGACAAAATATAAGTCAAAGAAAGAAATGTGACAAAACTTACACTTTAATCAGCTAATAAATACCTGAGTACGTTCCAAGACTCAGCTTGTACTTGAACCGTTCACTGGCCACAGCAAAGTAGTCGTACTCGGCATACGCGGTCTTTCCTTTGGTATCCATCAGGTCAACACGAAGACGGTTTTTAGCTTGATGGGTCAGTCGGTTGATCTTATCGAGACCCAACCAGAACTCGCCTTTCAGATTTCCAAATCCATTCTTGTAGGCGTTCCATCCTCGGTAAAAGTCCACCGAACCGTCTTGTCTTTTCTGGATGACCGTCCACCCTCCGCCATCGGTCTTTTGGTCACAGTAAACCTGGAAATTGAATGGACGCTTGAAGTCTTGATATGATTGTATATTTTTATASAGAGCTTGGTTTTTATTATATGATTCTACGGTTAGGAGGAGCCGACGGATTCCTTGAAGAAATATATCTGTTCTTATGTCCCAGCCAGCTGTAAGTCACAACTGGTTCCCAGCGAGAAATTCAGGGAAAAAGAATTCCCCAGGCAAAGTATACTTTCTAAGAATTTTTGCCAGGAAAATAAAAATTTCCTAACTAAAACAATATCAGCCGTTTTTGACCATAAAAACGTTATATAAGCCTTTTTGGACCTTAAAAACGTTTGCCAGGAACAAAATTATTTTTTAATTAGGAAAGGCGCCAAATTTGCTTGTGAGAATGTTGTTCAAAATGTGAGAAGTAGTTCAAAATCCCTCTCCCAGGAAAAAAATCGTACAAGATCGATACAAGAACAGTTATTTAGAAGAACAGACCCCGTCGGCTCCTCCTGTACGGTCTTTGGGCGCTTGAGAAATTTTTAACCTAATGCTGTGATGTGTACTGTATAGGCAAAATGTATGTATTTAGATATGATTTTATATCAACAACGTGTAAAATGGAAAACTATTATTACCTTGAATCTTCCTTTGCCATCTGGATCGATGGTATAGACACCGCTTTGTTTAAAACCGCGTTTATAGAGTTCTTCACAGTTCTTGTAGTTGTACACTATATAAAATCAAATCAACTATTGTTTATAAGTGGATAACTGTAGTGTTCTACTTCATTTTTGAATTAGTTATAGAAATAAGATGAACTTAAGTTTAGACGATGCCATTTTCAGCTTGAACAGCTTTATCATGGCAACGATCATCTTTTTTGTTAATATCGTCATTTTTCAAAGAATGCTTCTCAAAAAATATTGCACATCATTCGAACCTCATACAAATGTTAAATCAATTCATTAACTTCATGCATTACAAAAAAATACAAACTATTAAGGAATCGGATGATTT